GAGGGGACATCTAGACCCAAACCACAACAGATGGCATCCTACCAAAAGATAACAATTTGGGTAAAAGTTTTTTGTGTTTTTGTGGAAAGATAAGTACATTTAACCATGGCTATTTTATACCAAGATAGATATTTTAAGTGTGTTACAAAGATAATATCATCATGATTGTTATGCTAAAATATTATGTTTGGTTCTCGATTTGAAGCCTTTTTTCTGCTAATATTTTACAGGGATTCAACTACTAGAACAACCGTGATTAATAAAAATAACAGACCCCTAACTATATTTTATATTTCAAAGTGCTTGATACCCAGATAAAATTACAATAGTTAAATTCACTACTCCCATTGCAATGCTAATGTTATTGATCTTCTCTTCTGAGTGTTCAACAACTAAAGTTTAGAGACCAAAACTAAAAAGGTAATAGGGAGAGAAAGATAGCCAATATTTTGGCCCTGGCCCTCCAAGGCCAATGATAAACCCAAGACATAAAAAAACCTTTTCTACAAGATCCTACAACTTTGGTAAGTTACCCAACCTCCTGAGCAGAGAGATTGTTAGACACCAAAAAAGATAACAATCTACAAAATAAAGTGTGCCAAAGGAATGTCATCTAGAGGAAAAAAATCTTCCATGCTTTCATAGAAAGCAACTTAGTCAAGCAAGGTCATAACACATCCTGATGGCTGACAGTAGCTAAAAAGCTCTATACAGGATTCCAAGTAATGCCTATAGAAACTTACTTAACCTTAATAGATATCAAGAAGCTAATTTTAATTAATACAAGTCTCACCTTGTTTTAGTCTTAAACACCCAGTAAAAAGTATAACCCAAAGATATATAAAGTCAAGACCATAATAATAAAGCTAAATATAAAAAGGGGCTTCAAATGCTGACCCCTTCTATCAGGTCCTGAGTTTGATCCCTAGAACCAAAAAAAAAAAAAAAAAATGTATAAGAGCTCAACAAGAGTTTTAAAAATTTTTTAAGTTATTAAATGTTTAATCTTTTTACAGCTAAAATTAAAAGAAAAATTATAACAAAATATAAGACTTATAAATAACCTCCATTAGTGAACATGTATAAAAACCAACAGAGTACTATCACTATTTTAGTACCTTAAAAACAGTATCTAAATATGGCTCTGTCCCCAACTGCCTTTTATTTTAGTGTTTATACTTTAACTATCCATGCTCTAATCTCTTAAAAGATTTTGTTTATTGTTGCCTGTAGGCTGCCAAACTCCAAGTGATCATAGAGATAATATCAACAACATATGTACTAGACCTTTTTTACTATAATCCACAAGATTAACTTTATAGACTTTATAATTGCTAAATTACAACATAATTTTCATTGAAGGCCTCTTATATTAGCTCCCTAAAAAGGATCTGTAACTGCAGTCTTCCCCATATTGACCCTTCTCAGTTTGGACCAGTTAGATTAAAACTGCGTCCTTTCTCCCCTCACCACAGTTGAGGATAGCTCTTTAAAAAGAAAATTATCATAGACAGCTCAGTCACTCAAACATGATAGGTCTTTACAACCCTCAGAGACAAGCCATTGTTTTTGTACCGGGGATCGAACTCAGTACCTTGCACTTGCGAGGCAGGCAGCGGAACCACTGACCTAAATCTCCGGCCCCAAGCCATTGTTGAGCACATAAACAAGATACTCAAAATTCAATTACAAAAACAAAAAGGGTGGATAGGCCCTATAATGATATATCCTATAAGCCTACACCTCAAAACCTTTTAAATCATGCCTTTTTTGCTTTGAATTTTTAAAATTGTGACTCAAAAGGACACACTGCTGCCAAAAGACATCAAGGTCAAAAAAGAACTTCCCAGTTGGAAAGGTGTATTGAAAAGCTTTACAATAGGGAAATTGGCAGGGGCCCAATCCAGTATTAATGTGGAAGAGGCTATGCTTGTGTCTTTCCAGAAGAAGCTTCTCAGCCAATTTGGGTTCCTAAAAAGACTATAAAGCACCACCATGAACCCCAAGAAGGTGATAGTTCTGCCTTTCAAGAAAATAAAGATTGCCCTCATGATGAGTGTGCCCAACAGACCAAAAAAGCCATCCAGATGGCAAAGACTATACCATTACCCACTTGGAGATAACTAAAGAAATTGACCTTGGATGCCCAGGAGATGGTTCTCCGATAGGGGGCTCCCAGCACTCTGGGTAGTATATTTCTAGCCATGCTGACTCTTGTCACCATGCAGGTGGGTACAACCAAGAGTCAAAATCAGACACGTTGGACATACTTCCCAGATCCACCTACAGCACATCCAGTTCCTTGGAATGCTCCTGCATTGGTGCCAGTATTCACTGACTATACCTCCCTACTGGGTGGATATGATAGTGTGCATATCTCCCCTATCTCTCATTCCTCATTCAATTATACTGGGAAGAGTGCCATACCTATATGTCTCTCTTCTAAGAGGACATCCTTGTGTGCCATGGGCCAAGCCTGAAGATGGCCCTTTGCCTCCTCCCTCCTCCCTTTTTCCTCCATAGACTAGACTGTAGACAGGATTGTAGACCCTGGATGGCACAGCCCCAGGACACAGTTGCATTATATATCCTTCCTTGTTCCCTTTCTGTGCATCCCCCGATCACACAATCACACTACATCAGACAATCACACTACATTCAGCCTAGGCCGCATAGCACTACTTACCCTGCCTTCTGTCCCTGTTTGTCTTATACTATAAGTAAAGAGCATGCTGAACTCTAGGCAGCCATTAGCTCCCTACAGGCTGTGGCTCCACGTGGCCCCAGCTTTCAACCATAATCTTGGTGTTTTCAATTTTCTTCATCTCCCACTGCTCTCCCCAGCTGCAGACCCTATGCTGAGTGGGTCGAAGCACCCGTGCCTAAATCTTATTAGACTAAAAAATCAGCTTTGGTTAAAAATGCTCCTGGACATCTCAGGGATGAGATAATGTCTTTAATGAGCTTTAATATTACCTCAGTTACCACCAGTGATTCTCATTGCCCTTTACAACATTGTCATAATATGTGGTACCCCTTGGAAGCTTTGTCCCCTGGGTTGAATGCTGCACTGCTTGAGTTTACAGTAGTAGTTTACATAAATTGATCTTGCTTGATTGGTCCAACACTAAAGAAAATCTGACTGGATTCTTTCCAGCCTGAGTGCTTAACACTTCACAAGGACATCAACAGAGAGATTTATAGAGTTTAGCTGCCGTCTATGAGGAGATTAACCAGTCTAGTAAAAGTATCAAAGATCTTGGTGGAATAGGACAAACTACCCACTATGCCCTGCTTGTGTTCAAGCTCCTTGTGGCAGGGAATGTTAATATTTCTTATGGTTCTAATCATTATGCTGTAATTTGTTTTAACTGCAACCTCACCTCTTGTATTTCTTCCCTTAATAAAAGCCAGCATGTATTAATACTATATAGGCCATCCTTTGTGATGGTGCCAACTAACATATCAGAACCTTGGTATAGTGGCCAAGAAATGCAAGTCTTGAAAGAGATCAAAAATCAGTTAAGCAGGCCTTGCAAAGCTGTTGGATTAATTATCCTGGGAATAGTGTCATTAGTCACCTTAATAGCTACTGCTGTAACGACAGCAATAGCACTATCCCAAAGCATCCAAAATGCTCATTTTGCTAATCATTTGGTTAAAAATACTTCCTATGCCCTTGTCACCCAAGAGAATACTGATTAAAAACTTGGAGATTAAATTAAATGCTTTGGAGGCCACAGTTATCAGCATGGGCAACCAGGTTGAGGCCATTATGTTCAGACAGTCTCAAGCGCCATACAGCATTCTCACACATCTGTGTGACAGCAGTCCAGTATAGTAAATCTAACTGAGAGTGAAACAAGGTATCATGTCATCTTCAAGGCTTGTGGCACAATAAAAACCTAAGTCTGGATCTCAAAGAACTTCATAAACAAATCATGGCTATACAATACAGTGGAGACAAGGTCCTGGCCCCTGAGGAAGTAGCCAAGCTGTTTTAGATCTTCTAAATGGATTTAATCCTTTTAATGTGTTATGCCACATGGCGTGGCTCATTATTGGTATTATTGTATTGCTATTAATTCTGCTATTTATCTTAGCAGTCTTCTGTTGAGTCCTCCAAAGCCAGCTCTTCTGGCTCCAACTGATCACTCACCACCTACATCTCAAAAGTAAAACTAACAGGGGAAAGAGAACAAAACAATAAGTGTAGCAGACCCCAATATTAGCAGCTGCAGTGGCACAAGCTTCTTGCCTCTCTATAATTTGGCTGCGTATTATTTCAAGAGTCTGACCAAAGACTATATGACTCAAGTGGGAATGCCGAAAGCAGAGTTCGGCTAGCATTGCCCCTTCGCTAATGGCTGCTGTGGAGACTTAAGTCTTAGTCCATGAAATACCAGGATTCAGCCTAGCTCGCCTTCAGCCGAGGTCAACTAACCCCAGCTAAATTCTTCTCTTCTGAATTGGCACTATGATTTTCTTCAACAAGATATGCTTGTGTCCTCCTTCTACAGTCCTGCCTGCTTGAGACTTATATCAATGGGTGTCCCAAGGCCCGCCCAGCTCTCTCCTTCCACGCTTGTAACAAATAAAATACTGGATGTCAAAAAATACAATAAAGGGGGGAAAGATTCTACTAATTAAATTTTTTAAAAGGGAGAGATGTAGGGAGCTGAGGGTCTTCAGAGACTTCTTGTGTTTAGCTCCTGACCTCTAGTAACTCAGGTGATGAGGGGAGCAGCTTGGAGAGCTCAGTGCTCCAGATACCTAGCTGCAGCATAGCTAGCTAGCCTTAAAAATGTCCTACTTTCCACATTCTCAGCATAATACAAAGAGCTTGTTCTTCATGAAACCGCCCCTGAACACTCCCCCTTGAAACTGTATAAAATAAACGTGCTGACTGGGCACTGGGTCAGAGTTTCCCCATCAGAGGGCTGCATCCCACCTGATCCCAGCTTTCTCTTTACGTGTGTGTCTGTGTGTTTTTTCCTTACCTCCCGTCACCCCCACTCAAGTCTCAGGTTCACCCTTGCTGGACGAGGCACTTAATCCAGTGGGAGACAAGGTTTGGAGCAAGAAATGCTGAGCAGATAGGCAGGGAAGACATCTCGAAGGAGATCCTGAACAGGGTTTGAAAAAAGGAAAGAAGAAATTAGCCTGGTGAAAGAAGTGGAGACAGCATCATCACATGGACCTGACTAGGTCACGCTCAGAGGTTGCAATGTGTTCCCAGTAACCGTGTGGAGTTTAAATGGGGCAATGGCCAGGGATTTAGCTCAGTGGTTTCACCACCTGCTGCGCAAGCGCAAGGACCCGAGTTCCATCCCCAGTACCAAAAAAGTAAATAAATAAATGGGGCAATGGCAAGAGGGAAGGCCAGGCTTGATCATGAGGGACCTCAGTGCCAAACCAAGAAAACCAGGTTTCTTCCTGGAGGCACTGGAGGACCACTGCAGGATTTTAAGCAGGGAAATAATGCACATTTTCAAGGTATTTACCAGAATTAGTAAGGGTCAGACAGACATAAGACCAGCGTGCTGCCTTCAAGAAGCCTATGATCTTACCATCTAAATGGTAAAGGAGAAGAAGCACTTCATGAATAGTATCAGTCTCTTGCTTTTGTAATGTCTGTGTTGTGCATTTACTATTTATCCATATTTCTTTTGTTCCACATAGAATATAAAACTTATCCTTCAGAAAAATGTCGGTACCTAAGACAAAGACTTCTTAAAAGCTCATCCCTGTTCCAAAAAAATGCTTACAGGTAATCTATAAATATCTGGTGAAAATTGGTCACATTTCATTCCTAAATTTTCATACCTGATTATAAAACAATTCTAAGATCATTGTATCCTCTGGAGATTGCAAGTATTTAATAATCTATCAGCATTAAAGGGGCATCCACTGAGAGTCTCTGCTGGCTGCTCAAAGATCTTCATTCAGTCTGCCTTCTATAGAAGGGAGGAAATCCTATTTTTATAGAAAATTGCTCTATATAAAGGAAATCAAGGATCACTGCGCACTCAGACTTGAGGGCAGGAAATGAATCTTAACCATGTAAATTCTCAGAGCATCACATGCATGTTAGGCAGATTTTGGTTCCTGGGACAAAATACTTGACAGACACAAGTTAAAAGATGAAAGGTTTATTTAGGCTCAGGGTTTCAGAAGTTGCCAACCATGGTTAACTGGCTCTGTTGCTTCTAGGCCTACATCAAGGCATACACATCATGGCAGAAGGGCTGGACTGAGGAAGGCTGCTCACCTCACGACAGCCAGGAAGCAGAGAGAGAGAGAGAGACAGAGAGAGAGAGATAGAGAGAGAGAGAGACAGGGAGAGACAGAGACAGAGAGAAAGAGAGAGACAGAGACAGAGAGAGACAGAAGGGAAAGAGTTTGGGACAATATGTAGTCCCCAAGTTTGTGCCCCAATGACACCCTCCCTCCGACAAGGCCCCCTGTCTGTTTTTATCACTTCCCAGTAATGCCATGAAATTATGATATGGAAGGTAGATGGTAGCTGAAGCCCTCATGATCCTTCCAAACGTTCCTCTGAACATATAAGACTTTTAGGGGACAGTTTAGATCGAAACCATAACATTGCTTTTGGAGGAAATGTAGGGATGCATCTGAACTCGGGCTGCCTTGGACAGAAGAGAAGTAAGAAGGGACACTAAGAGAGCTGTGACAGTGGCATCTGCCTGAGCAGCCCCAAGCCCTGGCCTAGTGAATCAATGGCTTCCAAATTTGCCATGCACCAATGAATAAATCAAAAGAGTGCTGGGTATGCAGGAGTCTGACATTCTCAGTCCACTACGAGGACAAATTAATCGATCCTTAATCATGTGAGTGAACAGGGAACTTTGCCAAACATCATGCAAAACAAGGGATAATAATTTTTTTAAAACCTTTATATTTGGCTTTGAAGTGCATTCTACATCCCCTCTTTTAGTGCGACAGCTTTAACTTTCAAGCTGTTTCACAGAAGATTAAGTGACAATGACAGTTTCTCTTTGGAGTCTGTTGCAGTGTTCAAAGCTCATCTCGTTTGAGTGTCCCAGTAACACAGCTTTGTGCCCGTTTTTGTCCTCACAGAGGAGGCACCAGGCCCAGACACTACCCACCTCTGAGTGGCAGAGCTGGGTCTCCGGTTCAGAATCCGGAGTAATTTGGAATCCAGTAGTTTTTCAAGAAGACGGCAGAAGCAGCCTTTTTAAAAAAGACCAAAACAACCAGGATGAGGAAAATAAGCATTGACTGCAGTAGGTTGTATGGGAGGACAAGAAATTAATAACAAAGAGGCTATTTTTCACGTGGACTCAAAATGTGAGTCCCCTTTTTCCTCCTATTTAGAGGAGACTTTGTTGTTTTAAAAGGCTCTTTATTCTCATTCAAAATGAGAAAATGCCTTCTGACAGCCATGCAATTAGCAGAGCCTTGGGGTATTGATTTCCTCTGCTCCTGGGCATTGGCCTTTTTCACAGGACTCTGTGCAGAGACTTCAGAAAGAAATTGCTGAAGCTACTGAACTGGCCTCTAAACACACTTAGCTGTTTCCCATCTCCATCTCTCAGTCACTTTCCTTGAGCTTTGCTGTCCCTAGGCCAAGGAATAGGAAAAGGCGGGACAAAAGGAAGGGACTGGGAAACTGAAAGGAGAGGAATGAAGGAGAAGAAAATAGTTCCCTAGACAGAAATCCAAGAAATTTCTGTAGAGAAGTGATAGTCCCCTTGAAGAAACGAGAGAGGGTGGGGTATGCAACAGAAATTACCAAGAATTGGGTCGGGCTTTAGCTCAGTGGCACCACACCTGCCTCCCAAGTGAAAGGTCCTGAGTTTGATGGCCAGTATCAAAAACAACAACAACAACAACAAATTACCAATGACAGTCTCACCACTGATGAGTTGGCTTATTCAACTGTCTCCCAAATATCTAGTAAGGCCCCACTAGCACCAGGGACTAGGAGAGACTCTGAGAACACTCATACTTGGCAAGCATGGATACAATTCCTCCCATCACCAAGGGTACATGAGATGGGTTCTAGGATGCCAACTACGAGACACAGATTAGAATGCATGAGCTGCATTAGGGAGAACTCACGGTTAACGCCTATAGAAGGAAGGGAAGGAAGCAGGATAGCACAGAGGACAACTTCAAAATACAAAGCAGTCTCAAAGGAAGCCTGGGCCAGCTCTACAAGGAGTTCTAAAGACGGATGACTTTTCAGAGTTGTGCCTAGAGAGTGAGAAGCTGGGCCATTCATGGGAAGGGGGCCTGGCCTTGGGCAGGGTGGCTTTCCTCAGCTGAGCCAAGGCTAAGGACCAGCAGCTGAGGGCCACACTTCCAGCAGCCGGGGCAGTAGTGGCATTCAAAGTGAAGGCAAGTCTGAGTGGCTCCTAAGAGCCTACATATGCATAGCATGGTACAAGAGGAAGACAGCCATAAAATAATCACAGAAAAAAATGTACAATGGCCCCACGAGTGCTGCTACAAAGGAGAGATACATGGTACCGAAAAAGTACAACAGAGGACTCAACCTAGCTTGGGAGGGGATTGGATTTCAGGCAGGGAAGCAGATGTGCTTCCTGGACTGGGAGGGAACCTGAAGGGAAGCTGGCAGGCTGGAGAGCTTTTTAAATGTAAAATGGGCAGGTCCTGGCTGAGCACCCACCAATGCCAGCTGCCATGTTCAGCATGAAAGACATCACTGTCTCCTCCTTTTGCTTCACAAAACCCACATGGTAGATGTCTCATGGAATCAAAGAACAACATTCCCTAGAACCATGTGGAAAGGCTGCAATCCCAGAAATGACAAGGCTTGATTGGATGTTGTGTCCAAAGATAACTAGTTGAGATGTAACAGGGAGAAAGACCTTTTGCATATGGGAAGTTGGATCTAGAGATGAAGGGAGGTGAAAGGAGTAGAGAAGAAGTAAGAAAGGGGAATAAAAAGAATTAAGTGTTAAGTACATGTACCTACTCTTAAAATGAATGTAAACATTATTTACTGCAAACATGTCCTAATAAAAGAATGTTTTAAAGATAACTAATTGGTGAGGGCCACAATCTAACTAACCAGATCTCTGAACTGAGAAAGGACTTTTAAGGAAAACACACAAGCCAACTAATCTAGGCTTCTTTTGTGAAAAAAAAATGGAAAAAAAAATCAATATAAATCAAATATCAAAGCAAGTTGTGCCAAATTTGCACATAACAGTATCAATCACTAAAATAAAATGTAATAAAATATTAGATTGAGGGGCTGAGCATTTAGCTCAGTGATGCTGCACCTGCCTGGCAAGTGCAAGTTCCTGAGTTTGACCCCTAGTACCTGAAAAAAAATAAAAATAAAAGGTTAAGTTTATTCCTACATTCATTTAGCAGTGCTGCACTTAGGGGATTGCAGAAACCAAGTAAAGCTGCAGAAACAGAATTAGAATAAAATACGACTCCAGGGCAGCTGATAATTACACTGTGATGGGAGAGGTTTTTTAAAAATATATTTTTGTAGAATATGAGGTAGGTCTGGTTTATTCATCTGATGGTGTGGGGTTTGTTGAAATAATGCAATCTGCAAAGCAGACTCACATAGTGATATTTGTTTCTCAATTAGAAAAGACAGATGTCGGGGAAGCTGGCATGGGAGAGGTCTACTTGAGTCTCTACTGTGTCCATTCTACCTCTCTGGTGATGACCGTCCAGAAGCTCATCTTGCTGAGTGCCTAGGGCAGCTCCCTAGTGGGAAAAGAATTTATCCAAAACAAATTGAGTCCAGAAGCCTGTGGTTTAAGAAAGGAGAGTAAAGGAAACATGTCATGGTGCTAGACCTGAGCTGCATCACCACCTCCTAATTATGGGAATTACTACACGCCTCTTAAACTTCAGTTTTCTTGTCTATAAAGTGGAGATAGTGACATCCACCTCACAGGGCTGTGAAAAACTGGAATTCCAAAAGGTGAGTGATTCTTTCCTTTTAGAAATGGAATACCAAGTTCAGGCATTAATTAGGGCTACGCTAATGTGGAAATGTTCTGACAGTATGACTCATTCTATTCCTGCCACTATGACAAAATACCTTAGGCTGCATAATTTATAAACAACAGAAATGTATTGCTCACAGCTTTGGAGGCCGGGAAGTCCAAGATCAAGGTGCCAGCAGACTTGGGGTCTGGAGGAGGCCTGTTCAGTCTTCAGAGACAGAGCCTTGCTGGTGCTGCAGTAGTGGCCAAAGCTGCCTCCCCAAGATGGTGCCTTGCTGCTGCATTTGCACCTGGCTGAGGGACAAAAAGGGGTGACTGCTGTGTTCTCCCTTGGTGGAAGAGATGGAAGGGCTCCCTTCAGTATTTTTTTTCTATTTCAATTTTAATTTTTCTATTAGTACACGTTTGTATATGTGCTGCCAAAACGAGCACTATTAGTACATGTTTGTAGTATGTAATGATTACATTCTGCATGGGGAGTTGATTCATGCACATAACACATTTTAATTTCCCTTTGATATTCTTTATGAGTATATAATACATTCCTGAGCTGGAGCACTTACGATTTGACTTAATCACTCCCCCAAAGGCCTTCACACTATCACACTGGATGTTAGGTTCCAGCATATGAGTTTTAGAAGGACACACATGCTCAGCCCATGTCAGGGTGTTCACACAGGGTGCTCCCAGAGTGGCTGAAGCACCTGGGATCTTTGTTAGAAATGCGAATTGCCAGCTCCCCTCCAGCTCAAACCTGCTGAATCAGAGTCTTGCAGGAGGGGGTGGACCTGTTTGAAAAAATTCTCCAGGCCACTGATCAACTGTCCGGCTTCCCAGGGGCTGACTTAGAGTCCTGGGATAAGGATTTTCAGTGCTAAAAGTGGAAAGCCCAGGTGAATCCCAAATGAATGGCCTATCCTAACGCCACAGCATTCTTACGTGTGCTGAAGTTGGAGAACCACTGCTGTCTGTATTTTAAAATTAATATAATACAGTGGGCAACATGTTTGAAAATCCCACTGGAGCTGTCCACAGATCCCTAGAGGACAGTTTTGAATTACTGTACGGCTCTAAAGCACACCAGTACTTACTGAGCATCCTTTACAGGTCGCAAGTTCAGACAGATACTCTATTTTATCTCTGATCTTATAGCATCTCCTGGAAAGTTGATATTTATCATCATCAGGCAAACTGAGATTTAGAGAAGTCAGTAACCTGCCTAAAAGATCACAAATTAACCAGGTTTTGGGATTCAAGGATGCCACTCTCCAGAGGCTATGCTGGTTCTATTAATACCATATTTCCCCAAGAACAGAATGCATCTCCGCAGGGAACTTGTGAGGATTTCACATGGTCCAGGAGATGATTTCAGAAGGTAGCGGGCATGGCCTTAAGCAAGACATTACATTGTGAGATACAAGACAGAACACTGCTAATGCTGATGTACTTTATTCTGCTTGTGTAATGTTTAGAGAGAGCTGGGCACTGTTCTAAGTGCTTCATGTGCACTAAGTAGGGATTAAACTCACTGTTGCACCAGAGGAAACAGACACCAAGTCAGCCAGCTAGTAAAGGATATGGCCTTGGAATTAGAACCCAAATAAGCAGGGACTGATGTAAAATGAAGAGCACCCTCCACCAGTGCTGGGGATTGAACCCAAGGCCTTTCACCTCACAACAAGCCCTGTACCACTGAGCTACACCCCTAACCCCTAGAGGTATTCAGCAGTGCCTTGTGGAGCCATATTGGAGCCCAAGGCAAAAGAAAACTGTGTGCTTGTATGTATACTCATCAGAATAACCTTCTGTATTTTGAACTAAGTGAGAACAACTAATAAAAGCTCTGCAATCAAGACATGAATATGGATAAAGCCCCATGTCATCCAATCTGTCCCCACAATTGTCAGCTCTCATAAACACAGCCAGCAGGGAAGGGGAATTGGGGGCACCTGCACACCTGGGCCTGCTTGGAAATGAAAGCTCTCACCACATTGCAGGGTGACCAAACAAACAAACAAACAAACAGCTGTCTTCATGTAAAACGCTGACATTTGCTCATCATGAGCTAGTTTGCCTTTCTTTTTAATTTTAAAATATTGCATCGTTAGTATTTATTCTGATTACAAAGGCTTTTGGCATCCTTGTGAATTTTGCTGCCAAAAGCGAGTGCCTCTCTTGCCTCACCCTATTCCTGACCCTGGTCCTGAACCCTCCAAGAACTTCAATTTTTAACATTTCCAGAGGCAAAGAGCTGCAGAAGGTGTGACTATGTGCCTTTTCTCGGGATGCAGCCTTTTGATCTGACATGAGCTGAAAAACTGTCAGATGTGAACTTTTAGGAACCAGGTTTCCCTTTTTAAACTTTGTTTTCAGCACATGGCATCTGTTGGAAATTGTGATCTGGGCGGAAGGAAAGGGTCAGCCTACTGCCAAATTTTGTTGCATGGGAAGATGCCAGTGGTTGGATGATTAGAAGCAACATCTGGTTTCAATGCTACTTTTTTTTCTCCTTAAAATAAAATTCTTTCTAGAAAGTCTGCCACCTTTAATTTTTATGAGATAGTCTATGGTCTCAACATTGGTTTCAGGAAAAAAAATATATATATATATATAATGTATGTTTTATTAAAGCATTTTCTTCTTATTAAAAAGATTTGGAGGACACATTTTTTTCCTCACCAGAAGCCAGGTATGATCTGAATCAAACTAAAGGATGACATTTTCATGCTCTAGGTTCCCAGTTCTGATTAGGCAATGCCCAAATGTACCATCCATTGTTCAAGAGTGCCACAGATTTCCCCCATCAAAATTCAATGAGCGATTCCTTTCCGAAGAACAGGACACACCACAAAGCTCCCCCCTGGATGCTGGCTGTAAGTGGTGTGAGGCAGTCAATCACTGCTGCTCTGTGGTAGCCCCTCAAAGGCTGGAAATTCTCAGCCCTAGAATTAGAACCAGCAAACTAGATGCAGATGCAAACAGGAAGAAAAATAAAGCCACACCTAGCCACTTCACAAAGAACTAGCTGTGTGACCAAGTACCTTAATCTCTCTTTTTCTCATACATTGAGTGGGGTGATTTGTGCCAGACTCCTAGTGCTGCAAGGATAAACAGAAACTATCCACTTGGGGCAAACCTCTATATCCTCCTCCACCTTGATAGTCTCCCTAATCTCTTTCTGTAAAATAAAATTCTAAATGTTTATAGTTGTCAAATATAGCTATGCAGAACAAAGACTAAATTTCCAATGGATATGGTGGTGCCCACCTGTAATCACACCTCTTAGGGAGGCTGAGGCAGGAGGTTTACAAGTTCAAGGTCAGCCTATGCAACTTACTGAGACACTCTCAAAATAAAAATGGCTGAGGATAGAGCTCAGTGGTAGAGTGTCCTGGGTTGAACTCCCAGTGAAACACACACACACACACACACACACACACACACACACACACACAATTTCCCAGCTTCCCTTGCAGCCAGATGTACTCATATGGTTCCATTATGACCAATGAAATATGAACAAGAACAAGAGGCTGTAATGGCGACCCAGGAGCCATCTTGGATTGTAACTATAAGGACAATACCCTGGGACTGGCTGAGTAATAGGAGGTGCTTGCACCTTGACCTGCATGAAGCCATCCTTCCAGTTGTGGACTGTGTTTGTCCAGACTATTATATGAGTGAAAAATAAAATTCTATCTTGGTTAAGCCACTGTTAGCCTGGGTCTCTGTGACAACAGAGAACCTGTACCTCAGCATGGCCTATGAAATGACTGACACATTACCAAAGCCCTCAGTAAATGTCACTCATGATGATGCTGCTGCTGGGTAGGAATTCTGCCTCTAAGATCCCTCCTCGGACAATCAGGATTAAACTCAGGCGCTACACAATTTGAAGTGCATTTCCTTCCCCCCGTTCTCTGGCCCAAGCCATGGTCATACAACAGATGGGGCAGCAAGAGGCCCCTACCCACAGTCATTCTGAGCTGTCCCTTTGTGCTGGTTATGAATGTGCCTGGCAGGGAGGAGGGGGGCCATTTCTGAGGGGTTGGTGTCTGTTGGGAGAGTCAAACTGCCTCACCATCTGCTTTAAACTGAAAACTTCCAAAAATCAACAAGTGTTAGCATTTTCCATATTCACTTCAGAAGATTTTTTTAAAAACGAAGCCTCGCAGACATACTTGAAGTCACTGGAATCACCCATCCAGTTTCCAAGAAGGAATGGGCCTTCCAACGTGGTCCAGTATCTGCCCCATTGCGTGCTGATGTCTTAGGGAGTACATGTAGCCACTGGCAATGAATAATATGGTTCGGGGTAGTTTCTGACCCTATACATTGATTGCAAACTGCATGGATCGCTTGCCACCTTGCTTATTATTAAAACACGTCATCACTGCTATCATCTTGGTTAAATCTTGGTGGTCGTGGCACTTGGTGCTTATTATTCTCTGTGCTTTCTGAGTGCTTGAAATGCATTAGAAGTATAATTTTAAGTTAAAATTAAGAGAATTTAAAAGAACTGCTGAGAAGCTGTTTTGAGCCAGCTGTGGTGGCACACGCCTGTGACTCCAGCAACCAGGAGGCTGAGGCAGGAGGATTGCTGTGAGTTAGAGGCCAGCCCAGGTTACACAATAAGACCCTGGTCTCAAAAAACCCAACCCCCCCCCAAAAGAAGCTGTTTTGGCATGTAGCATCACTGAGATCAACAGGGTTGGAGTAGGAGGAAGGCATGGCTGGTTGTTGCCTAAACATTTGATTGTGTGAGTGAGCAATCAACTTTAAAAAGGAGAAAAACACAAACACACAAAGATTCTGAACTTAGTTACATTAGTGTGGTGAATCACTTTACAGATGTAAGTCTGATTTTCTAAAATATCCACCAGTTTTTTTTAAAACCCTGAACTCATGGAATATCTGGTAGTTATCACTGTACCTATAAAATAATATGCTTGGTAAAACTACTTTTAATTGTAGTTGTTAATTTTGACAGGTGATCAATAAAACTCAAGCATATAAATATAATTTAAGATAAAACAAATCTTTTCTTTTGGCCTAGAAAATAAAAATGTAGATTATTAGGATATAACATTTTTTCTTTTTGGAGACAGGGTCTGGCTATGTAGTTCAGACTGGCCTTGAACTCATCATGTAGCTCAGGCTGGCCTCGAACTCATTGTGATCCTCCTGCCTCAGCTTCCCAAGTGCTTGGATTGCAGATGCAGGCCACCATGCCCAGAACTTTTTTATTTTCCCCTACTTCATTTACATATGTCTTATTCATGCAAGGATGCCAACGACTTCTCACATTTTCCTCCCATAGACAGAGTACCAATGACAAAATCTCAACTCTTCTCCCGTAGAATCTGAATCCAGAATAGGAGAAAAGCATATGTTTGGAACTCGCCCCTTCTGGCTCGGGTACCGCCCCCTAAGGCCATGTTGGAGTTGAACTCCCAGCGAAGGGGCCACCGCCCACCACCCCATCCGGCCCGGAAGAGGGCGGAGCACCGCATTAGCTACCTTTCCCTCCCGGACGTGGCTCCACGTGGGTGTTCTCTGCATTTGTATTTGGCAATCCAACTATTGCTTGTTCTTTTCCATATGCCATTTTTATAAATCAGAAAATGTTCCAGGTGCAGTCACTCTGGTAATAGGTGCCAGTCTTCTCAGTAAACACCGGATCCTGAGCTTGACTTTTCTGCACAAATAATCGTGGCCACCTCTCTGGCGGCCCCTAGAGCTTGCTCATGCTCTGATGGTTTTATTGGCCATTTAAGACTACATTCTGCCAAACTGGTGGGCTCCCTTTAAATGGTCAAGCAATTATCCCCAGTAACACTGCGTTGGAAAAATATCTTGAGTTTCTCTGTAAAAGGGGAACATAATGAGAAGAATAAGGTAACTTGTCGCCCTAATGGCTTCTTAAATAAATAAATAAAACAATAAGAAAGATAAGATAAACAAACTCTTCATTATTGAACCGGAAATCAATTCAGCCGGGTGAAGTTCTTTGGGGAAACTGGATCAGACCCCATATAATAAACATCTCTCCACCAGTGCTGTGAATAACCCTGGAAAGGTGGGAAGGAGAAGCAGCTGGAACCATGAACCGTATGTAGTGTCAGGTTGGTGACCTAGATCCCGTCCGAGGCTCTGCTTAGGAAGGCTGTGTGACTTGGGGCAGGTGGCCTGACCTTTCTGAGCCTTGGTTTTCACATCTAAAAACCAGGAATGATAACAATGGCTACCACGTGCGGGGTTGAAACAAGGCAATGTGTATGGGGTACTTAGCACAGCACCCTGCACACAGTGACCGTGGCTGTGGTGAGGTTGTTGTTCCCACAGGATGGTCTGTTAGGCTGAAGGCTGCTAAGACTCAAAGGCCTGGATTTCGAGCTATTTCTGCAAGCAATAAGCTACTAAAAAATAGGAGGCGGTGTTTACTCTCATCGCTCGGAGAACAGCTATGACTTGGTCTCTGACCAAGAAGCTTCGGTGGCGGTGGACGGAGCAGTCTGGCAATGGCCTCTCCGGGGAAAGATCTTACGCTGTAAATTGTGAGTTCACTGACTTCCTGCGCCTCTTCTCCGTCATCACTGAGCACCGTCATGGATTTCGGGGTGCCAGGCTCCCCCTCTGGCCCGGCAGCTGGACGGCGTGGAGCACTCTGTGGCCCAGCTTCACTGTAATGCTTGCCGAAGAGCACCCGAACCGGAGGTGGTCCCTGTCGGGAAGGCCTGTGGAAGAGCAGGCGCTCCTCTGAGGTAATGTCCTAGGCTCTCTCGAACCTTCATTAGAAAGGAACCACTTCCGGGATTTGGATTTTCATTTGTAAGAAGCATGCTTTCAGGTCTGTAGTTGTATGACTCACAAGATTTTATACACACACCCCATACCTGGGTGTCTCTCTGTTACCAGTACTGAAGACTGTATATACGATGTGTCTGAATCTACAGCGGCATACTGTCGGTGACTGTGTAGCCACAGCTGTGTCAGCAAGTGATAAAGCCTGTCTTATCTCTTAAGGAGTTTTATTACATATTTTAAAACTTTTGTTATCAATTTTTTATGAAAATGTCCTAGTAAAATCAACAGAGAAGGGAATAGGAGGTGGGAATAAAGAAAGATTATTACACGATGCATCAACATATTGTAAACCGTACCAAGAATGAGTGCCCACGCTAATTTTTACCCACACACATATATACAAAAGCACTGAATGGAGTCTTGGGATTTAAAAACATTCTCTAAATGCTGGGCCTTTGAAAGAACTAAGTTATTTCCAGGCAGTACGATTGCATATATTTTTTAAAATCCAAAGACTCTTCAGAGAAACTAGTAGAATTAGTTAAGCGTTCGATAAGGTTGGAAGATACAAATGAATATCCAAAAACCATAGGGACCCCATATACCCGCAGAAAACCAATAAAAGATACAATTTTTTGAAAAAAGTTTCCATTGACAGTAGTAACAAAAGCTTTAGGAATTCAGAAACAGATCTCACAAAGGAAATACAAGAGAGTTACAGAGTGAGATTTCTTTGAAGCATATAAAAAAGCTAAATAAATAAAAGGATGTACCATGTTCATGTATGGGATGGGAAGGCTCGAAGATGACAGTTCTTTCCAAATTAATCTATGAATACATTGTAATTACAATTAAAATCTATACATCTCCCTTTGTGGCATTTGACAAATTAATCCTTAAGCTAACGCAAAGAGTAAAGAACCAAAAATGACCAAGACATCATAGAACAAAGGAAGACAATTTACCACACTAGGTAAGAAGGCTCATTATAAAGCTATTTAATTACAAAAGAATGGCCTGTGTGTGGAGATGGGAAAAAATAACAGTGGGACCGAATAAAGAGCCCCAAACAGATGCATACTTATGGGAAAACATGATGTATAATAGAACTAACAACAAAAATTAGCAGGAAAAGAATACTCAGTAATTGATAATGAATCCATTAGTCTTGGAAGAACAATAAATAAATGAATAAATGAGTAGATAAAAGTTAAAAAATTTTAAAAATCCATGCCTTATCTCATTCACAAAATTATTTTCTAGGTCAATTTAATAGCTAAATGAAAAAGCAAAACTGAAATATTATTGCAACTTCAAGGTGGGAAAAAAATAAAAACATAGAAGATAATTTGGTAAATCCAACTACAGTGAAATTTTAAATCCATTTTTAATAAAGACAAACTCAAAATTAGAAGAAAATATTTCAGTGCACAAACCCTTAAGAAAATTTTTTCACTGCGTATATCAATGCCTAAAATCCAACAAGGGCTTATTATCCAAAAAACATACAATCCTACAAATCAGTAAGGAAAAAGAGTCCGACAAGGAAAGTGGTCATAGGGTAGGAACAAGGAATTCTCCAAAAAGAAATCTAAAGAGACAAAAACCATCGTAGTTAGTAACCAGGAAATGCAAAAAAAAAAAAATTTTTGTTGTTTTGCTTTGTGAAACAGAGCCTCGCTAAGTAGTTCACACTGGCCTTAAACTCACTATGTAGTCCAGTCTGGCTTCAAACTACAGCAATCCTTCTGCCTCAGCCTTTTGAGTGCTGTGATTACAGTTATGTACCACCGCACCCAGCAGGAAATGCAAACTATGAAAATAACATATGATATCATACCCATCAGACTGGCAATACTTAAAAGCATAATTCTAACTGCTGAGGATGTGGGGAATGAAAATTCTCCTGTATAGTCAGAGACAATAAATTGGAGAGAATTTTGTACTATCTGGGAAAACTGACCGTGAGCACACTGAAAAGACCCCAGCAGTACTATTGCTAGATGAATATCCCAGAGAAACTCATGTATCTATCCACAAGATTCATACATAAGGATGCTTTTGGTAGAATTGTGTAGGAGCAAAAAGTTACACATATTTTGAAAATCTACTAATAAAAGCATCAATAAAGTAAATTTGATACACTCATAGATTGGAATATCCATAGCAATGAATGTGGAAGAACTTTAAAAGTGTCGAACATAAGAAACTCTTGAAACACAAAGTCGAACCCTAAAGACAAACTGCAGGAAGATAAGATGGTGCTAAGTATTTCCTTTCATAGAAAGCATCACCCTTCCCACCCCTAACCCACACTGACCTCCTCCCCAGGAAACTGAAATGGCCTCTCCTTGCAGCCCATTCTGGACCCTCTGTACCTACCTCCCCGTGAGAACACATCCCGTCCCTGCTTAGACCTTCCTTTGGCTTCTCTCTGACACTGTAATAAGACTCAAATTTTTCTTCATTGTGGTACTGGGATTTGTGGTCCAGAGTCTTCACTCTGAGCTACATCCCCAGCCCTTTTTAATTTTTTTATTTTTGAGGCAGGGTCTCAGTAAATTGCTCAGTTGCCCAGGCCAGGCCTGAATTTGTGGTCCTCCTGCCTCAGCCTCCCAGAGTGCTGAGGTTACAGGTGTGTGTCACCATGCAGAGTCCTTAGTACTGTCTCCTGGCCATTTCTAATGTCCCTTCCCCCACCGCCCACTCTCTGACCTCACCCATTGCCTCCACCCTGGTGCCTACATTGCTCCAGCCACACTGTCCTCTTCCTGCACCCAGCAAACCCAGGCCTGGGTTAGGGCACCGACACTTGCTGCTCCTTCCTATGGTTCAGGTTTGTTTGAAGGAGTATTTTCTCCAAGGCCCTTCCTCAGCACCCTGCCAACCCCTCACACCCCCAACTCTTCCACCAGCCTGAACACGACCCTGCTTCGTCATTTTCACACGGTTATAGGAACTAGTCATGCCATTCATTTATATATTTGTATATCTAGGACAAGGGTTTTGCCTTATTCACTACCATATAAGGCAGAACCTTGTCACGCAGCAGAACCTACCACATAGTAGGTGCTCAGATAAATATTAGTTGATTTATTTATGCAAGACACCAGTGATGGAGTAAAAGATGAAATCTTGCCCAGGAAGGATAGATAATAACTTCAGGGGAGGGTCTGCCTCTAGGGAGGGGAGGTCACTAGGATGAGAAATCAGGACAAAGAGGCCTTACAATGAATCTGTGAAGGAAATGAAACAGCACATACTAAATCTGGTGATGCATTCAACCTGAGCGGTAATATTACCTCAGTATTGTTACAGTCTTCTCTGGACTCACCTGGTTGAGATATTTCATAATAAAAACCACAATTGTTTTTTCAAAGAGAGATTCGAAAGGACAAAATTGTAGAGACGGAGAAGACATAGTGGTCGGAGGTCAGGGAGGGAGGTGTAACTCTACGTGGGTAGCGGAGATCTCTGCGGGGGCAGAGAGGTCGAGTGCGGCCCAGTGTCTGACTCAGCGGTCACACTGATCTGAGCGAGAAGATGGAGCCGAACTACGCATGCGCTTGATACCACTGTCGTGTTCTGGTTGGTTGATCCAGTTCGGTAAAATGTAACCCCTGCGGGAAACCGGGTGAAAGCCATTCAGGCCCTCTGTAGCATTTCCACATTTCCTGTGAGATCTATAACTAATTCAAATTTTTAAATTTATTTTTTCAGTTTTTACTTTTTACTAGTACATGTTTGTAGTACATAATGATCAGATTCCTCAAGGGGAGTCAGTACCCGTGCATAACACATCTTAATTCTTTTTTCATTCCCTTCCCTTCCCTTCCCTCCTCCTCCAACTCTTGGTCCCCCTCCCATTTGCAAAAGAGTTATCTCCTGTTTCCTATTATCTATCTTTTATTTTGCTCTTTATTTATGTTTTGGGTTTGTCATATAAAAGAAATCATGTGATATTTAAGTTTGAATATTGATTTATTTCAGTTAATATTATGGTCTCAGAGTGCATCCATTTTCCTACAAATGACTCAAGTTTAACCTTCTTTACGACAGAGTAGTGCTCCACTGTGTCAAAAAAATTTTTTAAATTATAGAAGGAGAGTAAATGTAGCCCACCTAAAATAATGTTCCTATTTCACAGATGAAATAATGGAGGTCCCCAAAGAAAAGCAGTTTGTAGTAGGTGGTATATGGGGCTGGGCAGGGAGCCTGCAGGACCTGAACTTTTCTTTGAACAATAAAATCAACAAAAGCATAGGTCGAAGTCCCTTAGTATCCCTTCCTAAAGCCTCTATAACAGTAACTTACTGGTCAGAAACTCAGGCTGCGTAGCATGGCTGAAGATCCCAGATATTAAAGATTAAATCAGACATTAAAATAAGATGACCTGGGTTCAAATCCTAGCTCTGCCACAGAATAAAGGGAGAGCCTTCTATTCCAACCTCTCTTGAGGCTATTTCCCCATCTACAGAAAATGGGGATGAGGCGCCTTAATGCTAGACACAGTGTTATGGGGTTAAATCAAATAATATATGTGAAGTGCTTCGCATAACATTTGGCACATGGTAAGAGCTCAATGGGAAAAAATGAAGAAGCACAGCTGTCTATTTATATAAAGTGAGCCTATGATTTGTCCCAAGAGCCCTGTTGTGTGTGATGAGGTCCAAGTGTGTGCACAGGTTTTTGTGTTGGACAAACTGGGAGTCAGATGAGGTAAGGGTGAGCCCAAGGCCAGCATTGTCGCCATGACTGCCTGTGTCCTCTACCTGCTGCTGGAAAGTGGCTAGCAGAACCACAGTCCTACTTTAAAAAACAAAACAAAACCAAAAAAAGGACACAAAAAGAAATGGAACTAAAGTAAAATAAAATGGCTCATTTTGTTTGTGTAACCTGTAAACTGCAAATAAGGTATGATCACAAATCAAGTCCCCAAAGAACGTAGACACTATTAGATTAAGCCAACATGAAGTCAAAAATAGCCGGATCCTGGGAGCACCCCAAGACTACAGCAAGACTATTCTGTGTTTGTTTAAAATTAAAAAGGAAAAGAAGATGGCACTTCATTTCTTTTGGTCCTGGACCAATTGAATTTAAAATGAGTGGAACCAGATTTAATCTGGGAGAGAAGAGTCAGGCTCCACTTTCTGTTGGCCAAAGAAAAGCATTCTGGCGGGGGGGCAAACACAGGCAAGAAATGTGAGATTCAATTAATTTCCCAAAAGGTACATTAGAGTTGACAAAAAACCCACTTGAAATTCTGAAATCAGAACAACAAAGAATGGTAGAAAGATTCGATCCTTCAGTGAATTTACAGTGACAGAGTTTGCAACAAATCTTCAGAAATACATAAAATCAGGTATCTAAAAGGGAGAGAAATGAAAGTGGAACTCATTTTAAAAAAACTAAATCACAAAATTAGTTGAAATATGTGAAGCATTTCCTAAAGTTAACTCTCTGGCTTGGAAATCTCTGAAATAAATGACTATTGTGAAAAGAGAAAGTTGAGCAGACTTTATTTTCAGTAATAAGTAAGATTCCAAAGGCAAAACCAACCCAGTCCCTTGCAAATGCTCTTAAATAGGCAATACCCACTACAAAAAGAGCTTGTTTCATTTTGACAAGATTTTAAGTAGTCTAGTAAATCTAACTGGAATACCCATCACATATTTTGCAAAAGTAATAAAGCTGAGGCAATAAAAGAAGTCTCAATAAATCCCTACTTCCAAAGTATTGCAAACATGAAGAATCAGTACCCTGTGTTGCTGCACGGATTATTCGATTTGACATGTGAACAAAATGTAGTAAAACTTGCTTCAAGTACTGGTTATATAACCAGAAAATACTTGTTTCTTATTTAAAATTCAAAGATCAATGACATGCAAATTTAAATCTTTCCCTTCAAGTGCTCAAGAGCTGCTATTCCCTTACCAACTCCTTTCACATTCTTTCTGGTTCAGTGGGTAAATATGTATTCATATTATCAGCTGTTAGAACAACAGAGTTCTCTATAATAAATTAATTTCATGTTAGCTCCCCAAGGGGAAAAGAAGAATTAGATCTAAAGAAATAAGATAAGAATGATGTAAGGAGCCAGAATATTTTTTCTTATGAAAAATAAAAATGGTGAGACCCCATTAACTTCATTGGTAAATGGTTAATTAAAGGATACTTAGGGGAAAGAACATCTAAAGTCTTAATGGATTCAAAAAATTGAAAGAGTTAGGCAGTAGAAATTTTAGTAGTTAAGAAACATCTTTGTTTCACTTTGAAGCTTTTCAACAATATATAAAGAGCTGTAAAAATGAAAGTACTGTAATATTGAAGGTCAACATCAGTCGAAGTAGGAAAAGGAGATTCACTGTTAAAGCTAAAATGTTCTGTCTCAACTTGCTATCTTGACATTATCTGCATTTTCCTTACATATAAATGCATTACTCAATTACAGTCATTATCAGCAGAATTCAGATTATATAAAAAAAAAATCTGTGTGAAAATGTTAAAGTCACCAGAACTTAGAAGCCAATTTATCTTCCCCTTATTTCAAAAATAATTTACTTCTGAATTTCTAAAGCAAATAATCCCCCAGGTGCTTCCTGCCTGTGGCAAATAATATTCTATTTAGGGACAACATCATGGAACTCCACATTTCACCTCTGCTCTCTTCCTGCTGGCTTCTAATGTGTTACTGGAAACACTGGTTTGAAATGAACAGTTCTGATGAGACAAGCTTCCTATGCCTGTTGATTTATTTTCTTTATTTTGAAGCATAAATCTCTGTATGATAATGGAGTAGCTTACAAAGCCACAGAGATTCAGATCTTAAATGGAAATTTATTTTAGTTTTGTTTAGCTTGGGTTTTTTATTTACCCCCTTTTGCTGACGCCCAAACCCTATTCAAGTATGTGTCTGAGGGTGAAGGACCTCAGTTTGGAAAGGGCCATTTTCCAGACAAGCAGGTAACTTGGGGAGTAAAACACTTGTTAAAGTTTTGTACTTCCCCAAAAGTTGGCTGTAATCTAAAGAGTTATGTGAGCTGCTTCGATGATCATGTGTAAATCTATTTAATTGCAAGTTGAACCACCAGTTTTTTGAAACTTGACTTCTATCTTGTTACCTGGTTTCGTCTGCAATAGGTTTTAATTATAACAACTGTAATGAAAAATAAGAGGACGTGTTCCTGTGCAGGGGGAACATTTAAGCATCTGGGGCCAGGAGCAGATCAAATTTCCCTTTGGGACAAGATCTAGATCTAGAGCCGGGTCACCGTGGTGATGCCCACAGGCAGGGCTAATCCCTTCTCCAGGGTCACCTTTCAGTGGGAGGAAATCAGTTTTATTGTTCCTAGAACTGGCCATGCGGGTCTGGTATCAAGAATAGGTGCTTTGGGTAGAAGCAGAAGACAAAAATCTAGGACAATGGGACAGAGTACAGAGGAACAAGTAGCTGGAAAAGGAAAGACTTTTAGCGTAGCTGTGTTTAATTAATAATGTCTTTTCAACTAGTTGAAGATGATAGCATTACACGTTTTTAAAATGTTTTTCTGATTCTATTCTAGGGTTTCTAAAAAGAGTCAGTCCTCGGGAACCACAGACAAGCAAGCACGAAGCTGGTACAGCCCTGGGCGCCTCTGGGCTCGGCAGGCACGGCTGCCCGGGCTGCTCTCAGGCCAGGCCTGTGAATCATTCCACCTCCCTGATGAACTGGGGATGTCATTTTGAGGGCATTCGGGTGGCAGATAAACAAGCTTATTTAATCTCAGTACTACATATGCTGTCGGGAAATTAACAGTATTTTAAGGAAAACTTCGACTTATGTTTACAGCTTGAAAGATGGCAACTTATTTGAGCCTTTGTTATCACCAGATGCAAGCTTTTTTTTTTTTTCTTTTGGTACCGGATATTGAACTTGGATCCTTGTGCTTGCGAGGCAGGAGGCAGAACCAATGAGCTAAATCCCCGGCCCCTGATGCAAGCTGTTTTTGGAACACGATTTCAGAAGTATCTATTAACATGTTAGATGCACATAGCCTTTGACCCGAAATTCCACTGCTAGGAATTTATTCAACGTATCAGCGTAGTGCTGTGTACTGCTTGTGATAGCAGAAAACTAGAAAGGACTTCCATGTCCATTGGGAGGGGACCGAGATAGGAACACACTACTATGATGGAATAGTGTACAGCTGTCACAAAGAACGAGGAAGAGTTTTATGTTGCCATAAAGACAGGAAAAGCTACGCAGATATGAAGAGATCCCAAGAATTTAAAAAGCAAGTTCCAAAGCAGGATAGCCTAAGACTACATTTATGCTTTTAAAAAACGATTAAAATAGATGCTCCTGTTGTAGTCGAAGGTGCTGAGAGAATCAAAGAGAAACAAAATGAGTCATACTTCTGGGGAGAGGGAGAAGGGTTTATCAACTTTATTCCCCCACTTTGTGTCCTTCCGACCTCCCTGGATTTTTAACCACATGCATGCCATTGCATTTACAATAAGCCAAGAGTTTGCAAGTAAGAAAAGGTCGTATCCACCCTGAATTAGCAACAACCAAAGGGCTTCTCCTTAGTTGGGAGACCGTCTGGGAGCCGTCACTGTCCCGCCGCCTTCTCTCTTTTATAGCAGGGTAATTTAGGGCGACGTAGAGCGCTTAACCCCTCCGCGCCCTAGCCCGACGTCACCGCGACGCCGCTCCCCGCTTACCCGCCCCGGGACGGTGACGTGGGCTCCGCGGGCCGTGCCGCCTCGCATCTGGCCGGCCGAGCGCGCTCTTCCTGCACCCGGCCAGCCCTGCAGCCGTGCAGGAGCTCAGCCGCCTCCCCTCCGCCGCACACACGCCCTTCTTCCCACTCTGTCTCCACGAACGGTTCCTAGAAATGCGGCCAGGTTCACTCCTCGGTGCCCTGCACTTGTAAACCAAGGTCAGGAGGCTTCCAGGCTCAGCTGCGGAGCCTGCGTTCTGCGCCTCCTTAGCCAGCATCCAGTCCCTCTTCTGATGCTTCCCTAACCTGCTAATTAAATGTCCAGTCTTTGGGGGAAAAAATGGGCTTGGAGGTCTGTGGCTAAACATCCCTTGTAAAGTCTAAGATGTTTATTCCCCAAAACTCTGAAACGTAGTTCTTAAAGCATTCTTTAAAAGTCGACCTTTTGCGCTAAGAGTATTCTGAGGCTCGAACTGCTGTCAACAAGTAAAAACTTGTCCGTGGCCCTTGGTATTAAGGAGTCAATTTAAAGAAAAAGTAACTCCGTGTTACCAAGTAATGCCTCTCCTTTCTTCCTAACGATCTCTAACTTGTTCTTCAAATATTTATTTATAATATAAATGAAGAAAAGGACTGACTCGAATGTGCCAACCGGAAAGCTAACTTTTCCACAATCGTTTTCTCCCTGTTTCAAAAAAAAAAAAAAACAAGAAAAATAGCAATGAAACCCCAATGTTCACCCCCAGAGTCCTCTCTGGTTATCAGACTGAGAAATGTCATTAGAAAATAAAGGGGGAGAAGTCCTTTCTTCTGAAAGTTTGGGGGCTAGTCCTGTGTCCATAGCCAAAACTATATTTTCCGGTACTGGAAGAAATCCAAATACTTGCTTATTGTTGTAGAAAGTCCATATTAACGATCCCATACTTTGGCCCCCAGAATAGGTGCTGTTAACAGCCCTCAAAATTGAAGTTCCTTTATTTACTCTGCCACTTGGAAGAAATTTTGCCACAAAGTCCTAAAACATTAAGTTTCTACAAATCAGCTTGGAAACGTCTAAATGTGTTTTTCCTAGAAAAAGTGCCAGACATCAATTCTATCTGGCAGCCATCAAAAGACATCAGACCACAAAAACTATACATTCCTGGACCTCAGGAGGAGCTCTACAGGGAGCCGCAGGAGCCAACCCAAATGGCTGGGATACAGCTGCCTCTGCAGTCCACAATGCAGGCAACTGCAAGTCATCAACCACTGCTCCCCAGAATAGGCAGCAGAAAAACAAAGCAGAATGAAAAACCAAAAGAGTCCTAGGTAGAAATTTCCAATCCACTTTTAGTTTTTAAATTACATAGCATTATTATTTTTTTCTTTTTGTTTTTTTGAGTCAGGGTCTTGCTATATATTCCAGGCTGGCCTTGAACTCACTATGTAGCCCAGGCTGGCCTTGAACTTGGGGCAATCACCCTGACTCAGCCTCCCGAGTGCTGGGATTACAGGTGTACACAGTATTATATAACTTACTATCGCATTAAGTTCATTTTAATAAAAACAAGCAGGAAGCCCATGTAAATGGAATTTTTATTTGAAACTATTATTTTATGAGAAAGACAAATGACAGCTGCTGTGGGAACTTAGGTAAAAGTCCAGATTCCCTGAATGTCAAGTTTGGTATAACTTCTGTAACTAGAGTACATCCACTAATAACGACTGAATAACAGGATGTGACTTTCGAACCTCGGCCTGTCATTTATTCAATCTAATCATTTATTCAACACCTCGTAGGAAGAATATGTGGGAATTTGGGACCAAACGGCGGAAAGCAGGGGTTCAGGCACAGTGTGTAGGACAGAGGATGCTGGTTTTTCACTGCACTTTTCCATGCTGGTTGATTTTTGAGAGACCGCACTACATGTTTTCCCTTGGTGAAAGTTTAAGAGGTAAATGGTAGCAGTGGGAGGAAGAATGGAAACCACGAACATGGGAAGGTTGCTCCAGCCAGAAACCCAATGGGGGAAGTGGGGTCCCTTGCTTTGTTCCCTCACCCACCAATGGTTCAGGGTCTGCAGAGGCTCCCCCAGATTCCTCCTGGACCTCCTGCTGCGGCCACTGCCTCCGGGTGCAAGGACCCCTTCAATGGTTGCCCTCCTGTGGCTCTGAGTTCTGCCCTTCGCTGACCCCTTCTAGGGGACCCTTCTCAGAGTCAAGCATTTTAATCATAAAATATGAGAGGTGAATTATGTTAAAAGCCAAATATCAAATTATTTTTACAGTCGTGATGTAGTAGCATGTGCTTCCTTATTAAGTAGTGAGGGCTGGTGGGAGATCTCATACTGCACTGGTTTCAGCTTAGTAAGAAGTGTGTAATGAATTCGGAGATACCTTTGACAGCTGCAGAGACACCAAAAGTCCAGATTTCTGCAGGTGATGAGCTCACAGTGTCCGCTGATGCCACTGGGTGGGATCTGTGGCCTACATTTCAGTCAGAGGACGGTGACAACAACGTCATATTTTTGTTTTCTTGTTCACACTCACAGATCCCAGGAATTCCACCTGTGGATCCCTCGGAAGACTGGGGATCGGATTAAGAAGCCTTGATCTGGAGTCACATCCCCCAGAGCAGCCTCCACACTGCTGTCCACCAAATCTGACGCTGCTACTCAAGCTCTGCAACCTTCGATGGCTCCCTGCCCTCCCAGGTAAAGGACAAACTGGCCCTGTTCTCACCCGGTTTATCAGCCAGGCCAGCTCTTTCCCTAAATCATTATGGACTGCAAAACTGTACTGAGAAAAATAAAAATTAAAAATCAGTCAATCTCTTCTCAAAAAACTAAGACTACAGGTTCCATTTGACCCAGCTATTCCTCTTCTTGGTATCTTCCTGAAAGAATTAAAAGCATCCTACCACACCGATATATGCACACCCATGTTTACAGAAGCACAGTGTGTAATAGCTAAATCTTGGAAAAAAACCCAATTGCCCATCAACTGACGAGTTGATAAAGAAGATGTGGGGTTTTCTTATACAATGGAGTACTACTCTGCCATAAAGAAAGATGAGCTTCAGACATGTATAGCTAAATGGATGGACCTTGAGACATACTCTTAAGTGAAATAAATTAGACACACTTTTAAATACCGAATTGTTGCCAGGCATGGTGGTTCATACCTGTAATCCCAGCACTTGGGAGGCTGAGGCAAGAGGATTGCCGAGAGTTCAAGGACAGCCTGGGCTACATAGTGAGTCCAGTCTGAACTACACAGCATCATTTCTCTGCTGCGAGAAACCAAAAGTGGAAATAAGGACTAAAATGTATAATAGATATTGAGAAATGGGAAAATGGGAAGAAAATGTTCAAATGGGAAGGGGAACAAGGGAGGAGGGAGGGAGAACGGAAGGAAGGGACCCAAAAAAAGTGAAAATAGAAGGAAAAATGGAAACAATGCTTTTGTACATAGGGAGGGGAGGGGCTTGAGGGGGGGATGGGATAAAATAAAATTTACTTTAAAAAAATCAATCAATCTCAGGCCCAAATCCTCTTCCTCCTCAACAGGGCACAGTGGTACACACACGTGTAATCCCAGCACTCGGGGAGGCTGAGGCAGGAGGATCACAAGTTTGAGGCCAGCTGGGTGACATAGCTCAGGGAGAAGGCCCTCCCTGGGTTCAATCATCAGCACCACAAAAATAAATAAATAAATAAATAACAATAAATAAATTTAAAAATCTTTGTCCTCTCTGGTGCCTTCCTCTAGCGGACCCAGGTGTTTCTGTCTTGCATCCTGGTCTTCCCAGGCGGCCACCCGAGTGTCCCCAAGTCCTCAACCGCTCCAGTCCCTTTGATCACAAGGCACAGCACATGGGCACAGAACCCGCGTCCTCCTGTGTGCTGAAGACCAGGTCATGGCCACAGGATAACTCAGTTCCTTGAATCCAGGGACTCAAAACCCATGCACGGGGTCCAACTGAACCTCCATGAGAGCCATGATCTTGTTATGTGGAACGAACCCCCCCCCCCACTGAAACTTCACTTCCCTCGGTTTCATAGCCTGAAGTCAGGCAAGGGTCTGAAAATATTAAACAGAAAATTCCAAAGTAAAAATAATTCCTAAGTTCGTCTGTAGTACTTGGGATTGAACCCAGGGCCTTGTACACGTCGGGCAAGTGCTCTACCACTGAGCTACATACCCAGCATGTTTTTAAACTGTACTTGGAGACAGGATCTCACTGAGTTGTTCAGGCTGACCTTGATCTTACAGTCCTCCTGCCTCAGCCTTCCAAGTAGCTGAGATTACAGGCATGCACTATCACACCCAGGTTTTTACTGTAAGTTTTAAGCAACATTTATTACAGTATAGTGTTATGACTGTTCTATTTTATTATTGTCAATTTCATACTGTGCCTATATAAATTAAATTTTATCACAGATCTGTATGTATTAGGGGAAAACATAGTATATGTAAAGGTCAGTATTGTCAGTGGTTTTAGGGGTCCACTGGTGCTGGGATGTGACCCCTCAAAAGCTAAGGGGCAGACTGCTGTCCTATAATTGCAGTACATGTGTCTCTGCTACACAGAATCTCCTAAGGACAGGGCAGTTTTAACTTTCTCCAAGACCCTCCCTTGTGTATGTCAAAGTCGGATGTTCAGTAAATATTTGTTGAATAAAATGAATGAATAAATAAATGAGAGAGATAAATAGGAAGAAGTTAATAACACTAAAGTTTCTAATCCGGGTTGGCGTAGAAAAAGTGAAATGTGGACTGAAGCAAAAAAAAATGAATTGTGTTTAGTAAAGTTGTAAATTAAGTACATTTTGCATATTCTGATTTTATTCAAAGGTAATAATTCATGAATGCAGTAGAGGATAATTGTCTATTAAAACACAGCATTTTGCCGGCTTCGCAAGCACAAGGTCCTGAGTTCGATTCCCGCTACCAAAAAAAAAAAAAACCAACCCTAAAACACAGCATTTATTCTGTTATTTTAGTATAGAGAAATTTGCCATAGGGAGCGGGGAGTGGTGGTACATACCTGTAATCCCAGCACTCAGGAAGCTGAGCCAGGAGGATCACTGTGAGTTCAAGGCCAGCTCAAACTACCCGACAAGACCCTGCCTCAAAAAGAAAAAGAAATTTGCCATAGGAAAAAACCCCAACCTAGAAATAGGTTGAATTCTAAAACAAGAATTTAAAAATCAGTTGCCTGGAATTTAGAATGCAGTTTCTCTCAGAAGCAAATTAAAATGGGTGTTGAAGTATCCATTCATCACACAAAAGTCCATTTAATTTGTAATATTTCCAGAAAGGCTTCATGTTGGATTAAAAATTGGTACAAAATAATACCATTCAATACTCTTGCCAGCCAAGCAGAACAGTAAGCACCAGAAGTGCATGGCCTGTAATTTATTTATCGGGCGTATTGACACTGGAGGGAGCCAGGTTTGATTTCAGCAGGCTGAGGAAGCACAGAGCAGGTGTGGAGATCGGAAGGAGCTTCCAGTCATTTCAGGAGCTTTGGAGGTTAGGAGCCCGCTCTTTAACTTGCACCATTTTGCTTCAGGGCCCAAGACCTTTCCTTCTGGTTCACAAAGGACTCACACAGGAAAGAGATGGTGTCTTGCAGTGCGTGGGGAAAACTCAGAGACAAAGGGAAAGGAGCAAAGAATGAAAGAAGCTACCAGCATCCTATAAATTTTGCCCGATAGGGCCAGGGATTTAGCTCAGTAGTTCTGCCGCCTGCCTCGAAAGCGCAAGGACCTGAATTCCATCCCTGGTACCAAAAAAAAAAAGAAAAAAGAAAAAGAAAACTTTGCCTGAGGTCAAATTAGCCAAAATAGAGAGAAAAATGGAAGGGAGGGCGTTTATGTGGCCTAGTGTATGTGGTGATTACTGACACTCATCGATCATCGAGTATTTTGTTTTTCTCTTCCTGGGCACAAGGATTGTGCTGCCTGGCCCCTTTATGCTTGGCTGAGACCACTTTATCCCATTCTCGCCAATGAGTTGAGAGCAGTGACAGATGATTAAATGTGGCAAGAGAACCTCTGGTTTCTCTTCTCTCATTGGCTCAGTACCCAACTTGTTCAGGAATTTTTTTTTTTTTAAGGTGAGGTCTCCTTGTGTTGCTGGGTTGTTCTCAAACACTCAAGTCTCCTGCCTTAGCCTCACCATGCCTGGCTCAGCCCGGGTTCTTGGGTTACTAAGAGCCTCACTGGTGACACAGGGCAGACACATATGGATATGGGAACCACTGTTGTTTTAAGGTATAAACCTTTGCTGTTTTAAACCACCAAGAGTTTGGGGCTGTTTGTTCTTTGGCATAACCTAGCCCATTATGACTCATCCAGCCTTCATAAAATTTACCTCTAAACAGAGGAAGGAGTAAAACAGAAGGGAGGATAGATTACGGATGTATGGGGTAGAGACCAAAAGGAGATGAGAAGGAAGAAGAAAAACGCATTAATTCAAATATGAAATAGATGCTCAGGATTTGAGTAATCTTGTATGATTTCTGAAATCAAAGCCCTAATAATATACAATTACAAATTGGGCAGATAGAATCCTACTCCTAAATATTAACCACATGACTGCATATTAACAACATATGATATGACTTTAGGATGATGGAAGACCTCAGAGCTTGGAAACATTTTTCAGCTTATTGAGAAAATGAGTGGAAGAATGAATATAGCTAGGGCCTCTGGAGTCAGGCCAGCTTGAGTTTAAAGCTCAGGGTTTTTTGGGTTTTTTTTTTTGGTACCGGGGATCAAACTCGGGACTTTGCACTTGTGAGGCAGGCGGTGGAACCGCTGAGCTAAATCCCTGGCCCTCAGTTCTTATTTTTAAATCATTCAGTTTAAGTGTCAATCTCCTCGTCTCTAAAGTGGAGATGTCAGTGGTTTGTGGGGAGCACCCAACGAGGTCCTTTGTGCAGTGTCAAGTGCAATCCCAGGCATTACTAAATGTTCTAGTTTTTTCCAGTCTTCTGGAAGGAAGCCCAAGGTTTGGTTTGTCACAGAACGGCTGTCTCATTGTCATGCCTTCAACATAATGAAACCCAAGTTGTACTCAAGGTAGCTTCACCCTGAATCACTTGGGAGCTGTTTGCTATTACCAGGCTCAGGGAGGTACCTCTGCCTGTGACATCTGACAGCCCACCCTCCTCCTTGATACTGCATTAATCCACTTTCTACTGCTGTATCAGAATGTCTGAGCACCACTGATTAATAAAGAGATTTATTTAGCTCACAGTTCTGGAAGCCTAAGAACATGGTGCCCACATCTGCTTAGCCTCTGGTGAGGGTCTCGGAGGAAATGCATGGAAATGCATCTTCTCGGAGGAGAAGAGCAGTCACATAGGGAGACAGGAAACAAGAGACAGCTGAGGACATAGAGGAAGCCGAACTCATTTACAAGCCCTCTTACAATAAGTAACCAAGCACAGCAAGAATGTGGAGGAAAGCATTAATCCCTCTTAAGAGTCTACCACCTTTCATCACAGTTACATTGGCAATTAATTTCACTTGAGTGTCAGTGGGGACAAAAAGTATCTAAACCATACCAGCTATCAAGATCCAAGATGTACCCCGTTTTAAGACAGATTCAGGGTGAGCCAGGAGCAGTGGCATGTGCCTGTAGTTCTAGCTACTGAGGAGGCTGAGGGAGGAGAATCAGCTGAATTCAGAAGTTCAAGACCAGCCTGCGCAAGAGAGCAAGGCCCTGTCTAAAAACAGAACTGAAAACAAATGAAAAACAAATCCAGCCCAAATAGGAAAAACGGATAGACTGGCGCCAAGATTCTTTT